TGAAGAAAGCTTTATATCCACCTTTAGAATCTTGAATAGGGTTTTTTAAAATCTTGATACAAATTGAGTCTCCCTATTTGATATAATATCCTTTGGCAATCCATGATAGCGATAAATATTGTCTATGAAAAGTTTAGTTGTTTCTTCACTTGTCATAAATTTTGTACATGGTACAAAATATTCCATCTTAGTAAAACGATCTACTATCACAAATATAGAGTCATAAGAACCTGAGATTAGAAGATTCATGATGAAATCCATAGAAACAAAAGACCATGGTTGTTCTAGAATGGGTAACAGCTCAAAAAGTTCATAAGGTCGATGACGAGGAATTTTTGATCTTGAGCAAACATCAAAAAATTGTACAAAATCTTTGACTGTCTTTTACATTTGTGGCCACCAAAAATCCTTCTATATTAGTTCCAAAGTTTTATTCTACCTAAAATATCCTAGTGTTGGAAAGTCATGACGAGCTTGAAGAACACGTAATCGAGCTTCACCTTTTGGAACATATAGGCGTCCTTCAAAATATAATAGACTATTCTTGAATTCAAAATTGGAAGTATCATGGATCTTAGAAGAAATAACCTTGATATCTTGAATAAGAGGATCAAAAGATATGCTTGATTGAATTTACTTCACAAATATTTAATCAATAGTCAATGTTGATTTTATAGCTCAAAGATGAAAATGCTTGGGCTTCAAGAGAATTGATCTTTTTTAATCAAAAGATGTTTTTCCTTCTTTTGGTGTAAGATAAAAACATCTAGAAAGAGCGTTCGATAGACCTTGTTATTTTCTAGGTCGATAAGTCATCTTGAAATTGAATCTAGATAAAGACATGCTTTAATGAGCTTGACGACAATTCAAGATATGTGTTGACATGAAGTATTTGAGTTTTTTATGGTCTGTATACATGATAACTAGACTTGAAGTGCCTTCTAGATAATGATGCCATTCTTAAAATGAATCCATGATTGCAAGGAGTTCTTTATCATGGATCTCATAATTAATCTTTATTGGTGAAAATTTCTTCAAATAAAAAGCTATTGGATGGAATTTGTCATCTATTCCCATTTATAATAACATGCACCTATAGCAAAATCTAACGAATTTGTTTCCATAAAAAATGCTTTAGAGAAGTCAACGCAATATAAGATTGGTGTAAAAATAAACTCCTTTAAAGCAAAAAGTGATGCTTCTATTTTTTATTCCACTCAAGTTTGTCTTAACAAGTCAAACGTATAAGTGGAGCTACAACTTGAAAAAAAATCTTAATGAAGATTTGATAGTAATTAAGAAAGTCCAAAAAACATTGCACATCTCATACTATTCTTAAAATCTTTCAATCTATGATAGTTTGAACCTTCTTGGGATCCATCATATAGCTTTGTTAGAAATGATGTATCTTAAAAAGTCAACTTGAGTAGTATGGAATACACACTTTTTCAACTTGACATATAATCCTACATCTCTAAGTTTTTGTAACACGCAACGAACATGAAGCTCATGTTATTCTGTGTTCTTAGAGTAGATTAGAATGTAGTCTAAATAGTAAACAACAAAATCATCTAAAAAATCACAAAAAATATCATTCATAAGATGTTAAAAAGTGGCCGGTACATTCGTGAGTCCAAAAGGCATGACATTATATTCAAAATGTCCATACCTAGTTCAAAAAGTAGTCTTCTATTCATCTCCTTCTTTGATACGAACTAAGTTGTATATTTCTTATAGATCTATTTTGGTATAGATCTTTACTTGATTGAGTTGGTCAAAAAGTCTTGAAATTAAAGGCAAAGGATACCTATTTTTTATGGTGATCTTGTTGAGTCCTCGATAATCCATACATATTTGTAGAGATCCATCTTTCTTCTTCATAAATAAGATAGGAGCCTCGGTTGGAGATTTAGAATGGCGTATGAAGTTTTTTGCCAAATTCTCATCAATATATTCCTTTAATGCAGCCAACTCATTTTGTGATAAGCTATAGATTGATTCGAATGGTGGTTGAGCTCTTTCTTGCAGATCAATTGAACAATCATAAGTTTGATGCTCGGAGAGAATATCTACATTCTTCTTTTCAAAAACATCTTAGAATTCTTGATATTGATTAAGAATACCACTCGACGTTGTTTCACCATTAGAAATGGATGTAGCATATATAGTAAAAGATGATCCTTCTTTTGTAGCATGCATGAAAGCTGTTGCACCTACTAGTAAAGGTTTGGACTTAATAGACTTACATACTTCTACTTTAATAACGCAATCTTGGATTATACTATCAGAAAAGTTAAGATTACAAGAAATCTAATCTATTTGAAGGTTATATTTTTTTAGCCATGATAATCCTAAAATGACTAGATTGGAGGAAGATTTTATTACATTAAATACTACTACGATGTTATGATCTTTAATTGCTACATTTAAAGGAATAGTTTCATGGATAACATTTTCAAAAGACAATAAACGATCATCTATGACTTCTACATGTACGGATTTAATTTTCTTCACTTAAGATATTTTTGGCAAAATCTTTGTCTATAAAATATGCTGAGGCTCTTGAATCTAACAAGGCAAAGACTTTGTGATTATTAGGTCCTAAATATATTTTTATTATAAAACAAGGTGATGGGTTAGAAGAGAGGATAGGACCTTTACTAGGTGTTGCACATGATTCCAGCCGCACGGTCTCTATTGTAGCTAGAAAAACTTGTTTTCCAACACAATATCTTCTTTGGTAAGAGTGTTCTTTATTTTATAAGTGCATTACTTCTTTGAATAATGTTGAGTAGTATATTTAGCTTCTCTACAATATAAAAACAACCTCTCTTGGTGACATTGAATCTTTTCTTGCTTCGTGAAAGGTCTAATATGTATCATATCAATTTGCATTGATTCCGGCTTTGATGAATACGTTTCACAAAACTTGGAAGCTGCCACCATTACTTGATTTGTTCTTCTTTAATCAAATGTTTCTTCTTGATGCCTTTGAAATAAATGATTGTCGCATGCAATGGCTTGAATAATAAATTATTTCAAAGTTTCTACTTTTGACATTATTAATAACAAATCTTTGACGCAATCCTTCAATCTATATCAAAATTGGTTGATAAGTGCTTTATCATTTCAATCCATGTCATAAGCGAGGTTTTGGAATTTGGCAGCATATATAGTAGTTGACAGATCATAATTCTATACAAATTTTATATTATGTAAATATTATGATGAGCAAGGAAGAGTGTTGAGAATATTAAATATAACTGACATTCTCCACAATATTTACTATAGTCTATAGTTAATATTATAGCTACAATATTTAGAATGTAGCGGAGAGGAATTATTTATCTTCTCCCCTTCTCCTTTTGTATACAATACACAACCAGATCAATAGATTTTGTTTGAAGCTCTTGCTTCTTAGAAACTCTCTTGTGTGTGTATTACTTACTACTACTCTTGTGTCTTTTTAAACATTCTCAACAAAAACAAATGTTTTCAACTATTTACTCCCTTAGATTAGATTAGGGCGGAACCAAGCACAGGCACAAAACACACAGTTGCAAAGCCATAATAGAATTTTAAATAGTTCTACTAGCTTCTTCTCTGCAACAACATGAGCTATGAGGTTGCATTGTAGGACCCCAGTATTCTATCTAATTTTCATTCTAATTCGTACTTCTGTCACGCTTTTGGTTACACATGATTCGTCCCATCGTTCTTTTTTCATACACAGTAGCAGGTAGTTGCAGCAGGAAGGGTAACTGGAAACCGCGGTCAAAGGAGATTGACTTCGAGAACAGATCACCAAAATGCATCTTGTGCCGAAGCTATGGCGTCTGTACCTCAGAACAGATGTTTCACTGCATTGACTCTCGTAGGCAGCCCACCTACCTACCTCTCAGGGGTGTGGTGAATAAAATATGTCTGGAAAAGATGGTGTTGAATTATTGTGGCGCACCATATTTTTTTATTATTTTTGTTTGTTGAAGTCTGGATGTTGACCAGGACTCAGTAGATCTGTGCGCTACAATTGCACAGCCCATCGCCACAAACAGAGCGTGCTTGTAGAAGCCACCAAACCTATCGAAGGTAGCTGGCTGTGAGACTCATTAAAACTATTGTTGAGGGTGGCCGGACAGCGCCAAAGATCATGAGCAACCCCTGGCTGCTAAAGGAACAATTACTGTGGTACCCAGTTGCCAGTCTAATCACTTGATACTTGACGAAATTGTGATAATGGAAATGTGGAAAGATGGACAGTCCTCTTGTCGTAGATAATTTCCTACGTAAGAGCTGAATACATTATACCGATATTTCAACTGTTCCTTGGAAGAATCTCCTTCACCCATTTCACACGTCGTGAGATTCAAGAGAAATTTTCATGGAAGAAGATGTCAGCTGTACAATGTGTTGTATGATAAGTACATAACTGGTCAACTGTCGCAAGCTTTGTGCTAGGTGAACAGAGCGACGCACTTCGGAACAGTAAGTTGAGAAAAAATTACGATGCCATTTGCTTAGTCTTATTATTGCATAAACAATTGTATTTGAAAGAGTTATAAGATTGCGAATGCCAATGTGTATTGACTTCGTTGCAGCTGTATCTACGAGATTTTGGTCGGAAACTATTATTCAACACATTGTTCACATGTAAGATTTCATCTCGACCTGTATTAACTGCATTCAAGAACGTTTTCTTCAAAAGTAATCACAAGTAGTGAATTTCAAGCAGGGATACATTTAAAGGACAATAAATGTGGTAGGACACTAAACGACGACACTGTTTCCCCCTTCAGGCGAAGGGTACGGAAGTTCAATTAGCCCACATTCGTTTGATGCATAATGAGAGTACACACCCATGCACAGGCTCTACATAAGTTTGATCTTAGCGACACAGTGAAATGGTCTGCTTCAGCTCGTACACAATGCATAGAGATAGGCATTTCTTTTCGTACATACAGTCCTCTTCATACGCAACTTCAGAAACCACAAGCACATGATGATGAGAATAACCAGCCTCAAGCAGAGACGATTGCATTTCAACTATTCATATGTTCTGAGGGTAGACAGACATACAGGAGAAGTGTCAACCATCTCCCTCGCCAAAAGACTTGAACCTCAGCCAGGTCACCACAATTCACATCGAAACTCTAACCTGGTCGCGAGGACATTCGTGTCCGCACACCAGTCACACATCCTCTAAGCGAGATTACACCCCTGAAACGGAATAAGACCCTCCAAGGCTGGTTCTATCCGTCCAGAGAAACTAATTGATGCCTACCAGATGATGAGAGAAGCGGATAGGGCAACTGATACAGCAGCAAAGGTCTGACGAACAGTCAAGGAAGTGGCAGAAGAAGGTCCCTGTGGTGCAGGAGTTCCGGGAGCTGCAGGAGTTCCGGGGGTTTCAGGAGTTCCGGTGGCTGCGGACACGTTGACAGCCACCTTCTGACCTGATTCGCAATGCGTGGGAATACCGCAGATAAAATAATTACCTCCCGCTTTGACTACGAGTGCATCGTTCCCGGTGCTGGTCGTGTTGAGAGGGGATGTCTTAACGCAATTGTCGTAGTTCGCTTTTGTTGCAAGGGTCAGCACGTTGTGCGCTGCTGCCGAATACTGGAAGACTGCCCACGATCAAAACCCACTGATTAGAGATCTCATAAATTCACATTTGCAAGAGACAGGATGCAAATGGAAACGCAAGACAGTAACTCAGGTTAATGCAATCAGCGTCAAAGACCTCGCACATGAATACAGAAATGCCATGAGAAGACCTTAACCTGCCAACACTCGGTGATATTTTAAACATTTCTGAAGATGAGAGCTCGTGTCGGAGACACAGTTCACAGAAAATTTGATAGCCATTTCATATACTTAAAAGATTCAGATTACCGGTCCATATATTCCGTTCTAGGCAATCTGGGTAGGATGGCGAAACACTGGTGTGGCTCCATGCAGGTGAATTAGAGGCCACGTTATGTGCACTGTCACAGCTAAGAGACGCAGCTAAAGCGATGAGAACTACTCTGCCGATTCGAACATGGATGAGGATGCGCCGCGCCACCACGAAGATAGTACACACATCTCAAGTGGCTTACTCTTTCCTTCTCATCTGCGACGGCATGTACGAGGCAGCGCGCACACTACTTCCCTACAACCGATACAAGAAGTGCTCTCGGAGTACGTACCTACACCAGAAGTCTAACCAAAACAACTCTCTTTCGCCCAAGGTAAAAATCTAAACGCTCATACTGACACGCACATCAGCAATAGCGCAGTGCCTGCGAACGACATCAACAAGTGCGTCCCTCACTACTTGCACAACCACCAATAAGCTCCGCTACAAACTTTCAGCGCCTTTGATTTAAGACCTATAGTTCAATACTATTTTTCTGTATGAGTAGGCCGAATAACGAGAACTTGATCTCGAGATTTAGCAATCCCATACTGCGTGGAACCCTACAAGAATAAGAGGAAGACACTACTCTTCCAGGAAGGAAAAGGGAGGAAATTTTTATTAATAAAACAGAAAGGCAATAAAAATGGCGATAAAAATTGTAACTGAATTACTAAAAAAAACGTAATCGACCCACATTAGTAGCAAAACTCAGATGCCGAACTGTAGGCAAACTTACCCAATACATCTCCTGGCTTAAGGAAATTGGAAACATTCGCAGCCCAAGTAGTATAAACATCTGCGTTTGCAGCCGCAGGGACGGTCCACCGCGGCACGTCGTAAGTGACAGCCTGAGCAACCACCGCGGCACTAACCACGAGAAGCGCTACAGCCAGCATTGCACTGCATCTTCCCTGAGCCATGGCGACTACCTCTCAGCACCACCGCACTCCACTACAGCTGTATCTGCACAGAGCTAACCCACAACAAATGGACAACCACCGACTGCCACTAAATCAAAACCAAAGGCTTCAACTGGTACTACTTAAGAAACTATCCTCACACAACCGAGACTAGCGACTCGTGAATCGTCAGAGACCTGACAGGGGAAGTAATGCAGTAGAGATGGGGCAGATGAATCGCTTTTATGAGGCCGGCAGGCTCGGTGGCCCGGTCAGTGGTCTTGCACGTCAAAGGACGCACTCAATCACTCAGCGGGGAGAGAGATTAGTATTCCAGAGCTGGTGGATGAAGAGGGAGTAAATACAATTGGCGGCCTTGGCATTTTTATTAACCGCATGAATCTAAAGCTTTTATGGCGAAATGAATGAGTCCCCACCTTCTGACCCTCGACGGAGAACACTTTCCAGTGTGGTTCCGGACCTCCTGTCGTGACCCATTGTTTAGCTTCGTTACGGAGACTGTACTTTCGGGGAATATCCAGCGGGTGCTTGCAGTGCCGCGCCCGGTTTAGTAGCCACTCACTACCACGAACCAATTGCGAAGGATTCCGGTGGGGTCCGCGATCCCAAGCCACGACCACCCCCCTCAGTTGGGTCCATCACCAGGTGAATCCTCGATGCCGGTGACGAGATTGCTCACGCGCGGGGCCCGCCCTCGCGTCTCAGGTTGCTCGCATCGCGCCATCGGAAACGCTGCTCTAGCGTCGCGCCTCTCTGAGTTTTGCAACCTCGGCTACGTCTTCACTGTCCCCCGGAAACAACAAAGCTTTGGTCCAAATGTGGCGTTTGTTATTAAAATAAAACGCTCCGCTCTTGTTTGTAGGATGCTCTTGTTTACTCAACCATCGTTTTATGCTTTTTTCTCTTGTTGACATGGATAGAGTGAAGATGCCGCATTACATTACTGAATAGGAGGATTGTGAATTGCTAGTGTCTTAACATCCTATTTCCCTTTGGGTGCAGTTTAGAATATAAATGTCAGTATCTGCTTCTTGTTATTTGAGTACAATGGGTTTGGGGAAATGTGTGTTATGATTCTATTGAGCATTATTTTAAAGTTGCGGATTCTTTTTTAATTTTAATTACATTTCATTTGGTTTCTAAATTTTAGTGTTTTCTTGACCATAGAAGATCTATTCTATCTTCATAAAGAAATTTAGCACTCTGAGTTTTCCCTTTTTAAATTTTTTTTTCTTCGTTATTTACTTTGAGACTATTTTTGTGTTTCAAAATATTTTTTTTAAATCGTTTTCTTCACATGTGTGTCACTCCACATGTTGATATCAAAAGTTTTTTTAAATTTTATTTAGATGCAAAGAAATTATTTTTCTTTCTCTTTCTACTAATTTTTTTATTTTATCAATCTACTCAATTATTTGTGTCATACAATGTCATATTAAATAATTCATTCTTTTACAATATTTCTTTGTTGCTGTAACAATTTTTTATCAATGATGCAAAATGTTGATAATTATGGATAGTTTTATTATACAAAAATGGATATTTAAAAAATAATATGTTAAAAAGACATTAATATATATATACAATAACTCATAATTTAAATTATATAACTAAAAGTAAAAAATATTTTATTATGTTAATCCAATACTGAAGAAATAATAATAAACACATATCAAAAATAAAATAAAATAATTATTTTTAATCACAAATAGTATTCAATTTTAAAATAAATATATCAAAATATTAGAATATGATATTATAAAATATTAAGAAATAATAATCTTTATATCCATATGTTGATGGAACATTCTTTAACAACTATAAATTAATTAATGTATTCAAATAAAATAGAAAAGAATATTTAATGGAAACACTTATTAAAAAAATATTAACATAGTATCTTCTTTATTTTAAAATTCTTGAAAATTATTTATAGAAGATTTTGTAGAAATGTTGTAGAAATTTAATGAAAATCTTTATATAATTAGATTGATAAAATCAGATTTTCTAAAATATTTTTTTTAAGAAAAAAATTAAGAAAATTGAATATATATATATATATATATATATATGCATTCTAAACGTTTCAAACTTACACTCTGTAAATATGTACAAACACATGATCTTTATTATCAAAACTTTTTGATAGTATTATTTTGGTATTCATTTGTTAGATTTTTCTGTCTTTTAATGAATTTGCCATGCCCAAAGTGCAGCAAAGGCTCAATGCTTCTATCTTCTATTAATATTGCATTTGGTCCTAAAGAAAGAAGGGTTTGAAAGGGTGTAAATTGGTAGTAGTTGGAGTTGAATAGATACCACTAACTTCCTTTCTCAAATTCTTATCTATTTATGTTCACCAAATAATTGTTTCTATGGATTTATCATTTTTTCTTTTTTTCTTTTTTTCCCTACTTAACCAAATTCTATACATAATAAGTAATTTGTATTTTTTTCTAATAATATTTTTATGTCTTTAAGGTTATATTTTTTAACATCATTTCTAATATGTTATATTTACATTTTTGTAGATATTTTTGTGATATATACAATTATAAATACTCCAATTTTAAATGTAATAGTAAGAAACTGTGTAAATTTCATATGTAATATAAATTATTTTAAATAAATACTAATATTATGAAAATGATAAGAGAAAAACAAAATTTTAAAATTAAAATAATTTTGAGCTAAAAAAAATTCGTAAACAGATAAGCATTTAGAATTTTATCAGAATGTGTATCAGATATAATATATTTATAAATATTTGAATATAATTCATAGTATATAGATTAAATAGAAAAATAAGAAGAAAGATATGACGTTCAAAGTTAGAATTTCCAAATCATCAAACTCAAAAAAATCAACTACATAAATAAAAATATATTATATAAGAAAAACATATATATTATATTATCTTTTAGCATATCACAAAAATAATAATTTTTTCTTCATACATTCATCTAATTAATCTTTAAAAAACTACAAAAACGATTTGATGTTTTTTTTCCTACTATATTCAAAATAAAGCTACCATTTAAAAAAATACATCTCAAGTCTCAACAAACCCTCTTCTAAATTCTCCCCCTTTGCACAACTCAAGCATGTATAATTACCACGATCCCAAAGGCAATCCCCGACACAAGTTTCAAACCCTAGAACTCTCCAAGTCAAACTGAGGCGACCGATTCCATATAGAATCAGGACTCCACAAAAAAGTCACGTTGAAAAGTGAGCCAACAAGGGGCAAGAAAAAGCAACAGCCAATGGAAGGCAAATTCGCGGACATAGGGGCACTTCCTTCCTTCCTTCCTTCCTTCCAAACGTGGATGAATGCATACTGGTGAATGTGGGATGATGAATGGATGAATGAAGGTCAAGGAGAAGGAAGGAGCCACGAGGAGCATGCAAGCTCACCTGCAAAAAGGCGCAACCTTGATGACAATACAATTTTGGCACTTTCTGAAAGGTCGGCATACACAACATTATACCGAGGTTCTGATACGTACAATTTACGTCTTAGGGGATATTGAAATCCATACAAAGATTCGATCGCGTATTTGTTAGGGGTATCACTCCACGTCACCCACGTCCTAGTTGCGAAGTTTCAGCTTTTGCTTTACAGTGAGGAGGGTGAGTGAGTGAGCGGTTAATGGCAGTGAGTGGTCAAGGATCCTCCCCAAATGCCTGAAGGCTGCAGTTACGGTGGCGTTGAATTGGCTTACAGAATTGCACTCCGCTCTCAGAGGACCCAAAAATATATCTATTATATATAACAGCTTGGGTACAAGATAAAAGACATAAAGAAGCCTTCTTGTTGGCCAAATATACATGAACAATGGATGAATGACAGTGCAAGAGATTGTGGCGCCCAACAACACAAGTTTCTGCTTAAATAAATAAATAAATATATATATATATATATATATATATATTTGTATGTGTGTGTGTGTGTTGATTGCCTTGAGTTATTCCAAATTTCAACTTCTTCAATATATTCATTTTCTTTCTTGCATGCGCAACGATCATTCTTCATTTTATTCTTCTTCACAATAGACCATTATTACACAAGAATATCACAAGAATTTTATATTTTTATTTTACATGAACTTTTTATTTTCATTGTCAGGTTTTTTTTCGTTATTATTGTTGTTCTTTTTGTCTTTGTCTTTGCTTGCTAGTTTGATTGATTTCTTCACAATTCAGTGTCTTACTGCTGTTTGAGGATGGCTACATTTTTTCCCAAATCAGTGCACACCAGAAAAAATACCAAATTAATAACATCATCATAAGCTAGATATTGTAGTTGTGATAACAATACTAACAAGGTTTGCCATACACACATGTTAAAGTGTGGGACACAGCATGTTTGTAAATTTAGCAGTATATTATTTTCAGATGGTTCTAAATGTATTATTGCTCAAAACAAAAGATCAATGTGCCTCCCAAACACATGCCATTATCACTTATTCAACATAAATGATACAAGTCTAATTTTAACTATGTGTGACACATGTGTGACTCATTTATTTGCTTCTTACATGTTTCTTTTCAATTTGTCTATGTGTACATGCACATACATTTTTTTTTCTATCATTCACTGCATTTTATCCACAAAAAAGAAAGTAGTGTTGTCAGTTCCAAAATTACAGGGACAGGAAACATCAGGTCTTCATGCATGGGAAAAATATATTTTAATCTACAATCATCAATGCCTATAATTAGTTGAACAAATTGACTGCCACATACTTCCCTCACTGGAGCACCTTTTTTTCTTCATGAATTGGAGAAGGCAAAACACATATGGTAAGAATTAGAATTCACAAGACGAGATTTCGATTGATGAAACATCAAAAGTATAAATTGAAAATTAAGAAGCAAATCTGATGCCCATGGGATGGTTTTGATTGAATTGGACAAGGGGGTAATAGGAATGGCATGCATTTACTCAATTATATTCCCATATTAGCCAACTTTGCTGATCTCAGCAATGTGGTCATAAACCTCTCTCTCTCTCTCTCTATATATATATATCAAAATTTAAGCTTCAAAGTAGCTACCTTTCATGTCATCACTCTGATCAGAGTGATTCACCCTCCTCATTTTCCTTTTAACTTGCTGCTTTTCCTGCACTTTGGAATGTCCTATTTCCTCACCAAACATGGATGTGGTCCTTTGCCTCACAAGTGTTGCCTGAGTATGATGTCATTTCAAGTTCTCTCTACATGTGGCAAATGTGGATTTGAATTCTGTCAATGTTGGACCAAGTTTTGATGGACTTTTCTATTTGATTCTAAAAGATTCTTATCAACCATTTTTGAAACTACTTATATCCAAAGAATTGTAAAATTTTCAACATTCTTTCTGTGACTTTTTTGAAAGAGGAGGAAGAAAGTTGTGTTCTTCTCATTCATTTTTTCAATGCTTATTATATGT